ATAATGTCTATACAAAACATTCCTTATAAAATAAATTTATACGACGTTAAAAATAAACTTATTTCATTCACAATTACATCTGGGCAAGCCCTAAAGATACAAAAAAATAAAAATAAGACTACGTGCATGTAAAAGAGACATCAAAGTATCATCCAAGAAATAGTAAGCTATCTAAGAGCCGACTGTCGAAGCCCTGAATAGTATCAAACATTATCAGAGGTGGAAAGGAATCAATAAAATGATGGATCCAGTGGAAAGAAAGAGGTATGAAATATGATCTGCTCAGGTAGATTAATATCTGAAGTCTTAGAAGTTTGTGGCAAGGCGAGGAACTGACGCTAATTAGGCGGTGGTTATATAAGATTACAACGTCTTAGCCTAGTCATCTAGTTGACTTTTCATATTTTGCTAATTGATTTTATTTTATTTTTTTTAAATATTATTGATTATTTGTTATCGATGTTAATTTTATTAATAATTCCCGAAGTCTGTGCAATGGGGCTGGTAATATTAATTGTATTTGTAATGGTGATGCAACATTTAACCCAAGATATATATATATATATATATATATATATATATATATATATATATATATATATATATATATATATATATATATATATATATATATATATATATGTACATAATTACTAATTATGATAAGTAAATTAAATTTTGCTTGTTACTGTAATAACTCGAAGCAATTAGCTTAGCCGCGTGGCTTGCGCAATACACTGAATAGGTTTACTTGAATAGGAACCACCAGCACTTGACACATTTCCAATTATCTCTCCAAGTTTACGTTAATTTCTAAGTGTAGGGAAACTCTATTAAAATTCTAATCATATTTCTTGTTGTTTAATGTTTAATTTCTTAACGTTTTTCTAACTAAATTTCGGTACTGAACCACAGTTATATTTTTGTTGATCTCAAATGGACGAGCAATATTTATTTCTGATTCCACAATACCGTTGATAGGGGAAATTTGTATTGATGCAGGGACTGGAAAATATTTTTATCCTTAGAATGGAAAATTTCAATTAAGCATCAAGGAACCAGCGGTGAGTTTCGAAACCCTGTACATGGTAAAGATACTTGAATTCCTATGACAACTTTAATAAGTCATTGAAACAAATGAACAGTTTCAAAGCTCAAATGGTTTCAAAAGTCGTCGAAGTGAGACGGTATGATTTGTGTTTTAAAGTTTCGATACGGTAATTAAGGCGCGGCAGCTCAGAAGAAATTATCGGGTCTTGCGTTTTAATGCCCAAAATGTTCCATTCTTGAGATAAAACTTAATTCTTTCCGAATGCCTCATAGGTGCTTTGGTTGCCAAGGAACACTTATCATATATTTAGGTTTAGAAACTTAATTTTTTTTTTTTTATGTTAGTCTTCGGTGAACTAAAAATCTATTGGAAAGGTAGATAGAGGAGAATAGCCATACAACATTAAGATATATTTAATTAAAAAAAAAATCAGATATGGCTTAGGATAAAGGCACCAGTAATAGGCACATAAAACTTTAACTTACAAAAATAAGAGTTGGAACCATCAGAATGATTTGAATTTGGAGTCATTTTAAACTTTAGCTTATACTGTGTAGCCACTAGAATGTGGAGCAGTGGAAAGGTTAGAGCAGCTGATATCTTTGCACTGTTATCCAAGGTCCTGCTGTTACCAAATCAGCTAAAGGTACTATTTCGCTGGCGCGGTCCACGACCGCGACTGCTCGCGGTTGACCACTGCTTTAGTTGAATAGAAAGGAACCTATTTCGCTGGCGCTGCTCGGCAGTCTAGGTATGACGTCATATCTAAGCTGCTCGTATCTGACTCCTCTTCAAGCTGTTGGCGGTTCGGCGGTTGTAGGTTATGTTATCATATCAGAGTATTGTTTTGATGATAACAGTCACGTCGATACGTTTTATTTCCTATGTTTCTTTCAAGTCTGGCAAAATTATAACAAATATTGTTTAAAACTGAAACAATGCAATAGTAAATTATTTTTTTAAGCTTGAAGTAACAAGATTATTTATTTATTTATTCCACCAGCAATATTTTACAGCGAAATACAAATATACCTAAATCCAAACGATATTAAATGAATTAAAGAATCCAACAAATTTTATCGTCAGGTAAATACTAAAATCCACCCATTGAAAAATCGATGTGTATTTTTTAATTAAAGTGGTGATTTACTGATTACTATTGATAAAACTATAAAACATCGCCTGCTGGGATTTAATTACAAATATATGATATTTATTACTAATCAATTATGTATTAATTATTATTACTTTTCAAACTAATAATATCTAGTATCAGAGGGACTTTGATGATGAGCATCACATCGAAATACTGATATTCCTTCTCTTTATGAACAACATTTTCTCTTCTTTTTCCAACTCAAATAAAAAAGCGGTAGTAGTCAGAGATGTTCATTATTATAGGATGTTCATTTTTATTATTATATTATGTCCATCTTTTTATCTTCAAAGATACAGCGAAATGTTCGAAGGTTATAGGCAGGTTATAACAACCGCAGTGAGCAGTTTCAGTGAAATAGCTACGCCAACAGCGGTTGGCAGCATGGAATAGCGGTCGCTGTCGTTCACCGCGCCAGCGGAAATAGTACCTTAAGGAGGGGAGTTTGATTTTCATCAACTATTCTTTTATTGTTCCAAGATTTTTCTCTCTAAATTATATTGTAAACAATGCACTCACTAACTAGGTAACCTGTTTTTGTGTATTAGTTTTGTTTGATTGAGCACAAAACAAACTGTCTACTACTGGGATACTGATAATACCTCTTGTTCCAGTAGTATACTGAAGTGTCTACTACTATAAATCTCAACTTTTCGTGGTAATGATTGAATATCGTTTATAGTTCTATTCTAAGCATGGGATTGTTCGATTTCTTTCCAGGAAATGTCTTGTTCCTTTCTACTTACAAATGTAATTTAATTTAAAAAATAAATTTTTTATTTTTCACATTATTGAAGTTTGTATTTTTTAAAAATCATAGTTCCATGGTAAAAACTGCCAATATAGGTGCACATTTTATTAGGAATAAATAAATATATTCATTAAGTAATGTTAACTATAGGTGTGTTTTCTTCTCTACTACTCGTACACTCATGTCTACTATTGGTGAAAAAACATGTTCTCGAAAATTAAAAACGACCTAAATATCAATGTTTAAGTTAACTTAGAAGGAATTTAGGTCACATGAGAGTGTTGTTGGACACATATAGCAAAAAAGAGAAGTTTAAAAAGAATCTAACGAGTTACACTTATAATTATTGGAAGAGTCTCACAATAGTGTCTACTACTGGTGACTTTACCCTACGTATGTACTAACAGTAACGGATTTCTATATGTTCTTAATAAGTGAGAAAGCTACAAACCATAGCTCTTTGGCATCAAACTATTGGGTCTTTAATGAATTAGTATAAGTTGAGGGATACCTGTGTGTTATTGCATAACTATTAAACTATGGGGATGTTTTCCAATGTGACAAGCTAATCATTTATTAAGTAAATCCTTATTCAAAATATTTTCCTCTGAATAGCCTATCTTGACTTTATTATACTGTATATACGAATAAACGTGATTCGGTAAAATCGGGGAGAGGGATGGCAATCTAACATGAGAGTTCTCACTTGTTCACATACAAATTAAAAGTGTAATTCACAATGTTCTGCGCCTAAAATAAATCCAGTTAATCGAAATATGGATTACCGACCTTTCAGATATATGCCTTGTATAGCTTTTCTAAAAGCGTTGGTTGAAATATTTATTGGACTGAAGTGATGTGATCGCTTGCTGATTCATTTATTCAACCTAATGGTCCAAATAGAGATAGCTGGTTGTGTATGTATTGTTCATAATCGATTGGGTCAACTCGTAACTCTAGTGAATCGCTTACTTTTGACAGATTAAGCTTAAAAAGATATTTACATGTATCGAATGTAGAAACGAAACATGGCAAGTGAGGGCATTGCAACAAAATTGTAACACACTTCATTATTATCATAGGCGCTGACTACAGCAGGCAAGGGGGTGATTATCTCCTCTCTCCCAATAAAAATGTTGATGTGGCAAGAATAGTTTCGCTTCCCCCTCCCAATATTTCGAATTAAAAAAAAAATTGATAACACATAAGATACATGAATGAATAAAATATGTAAACTAAAATCGATTAAGAACTAGCTGGCTGGGCCAAGGCCTATAAGTAGGAACGTAACTATTTTAACACGAACTAAATATTCTTATTATTTAAATTTTCGTTTTTATTCAGGGATGATTATAGAGAAATATTTCCGAGGATTTTATGATTCATTCACCTCTCATATGTACACCACCATTCCCATGTGATTATTTTATAAATTTGAAAAAAATATATTTAATAATTAAAAGTCTGAATATATTTTATAGAGAATATTTTTATAGACATTTTTACATAACTAGTTAGACTGTGAAAACATATTATTTTTCTTTTAAGGTTGTGCGAGCTAATAAATCAAAAATATTTTTCAGTTCTTTAACATTATTCATTTTTTGTTAGAAAAGTTAAAGAAATATACCTATGCTATGGAGGATTTCCCCCCTCCATCCTTGTTTAATGTATACAAATTTTAATATATCCAACTGTTTTGTTCAGATATTTTCAATTATATCCGTATGCACATAAAACCATCTACAATTTCCAAATAAATATATTCATTTATTTTTAAATATTAAATATTATTTGTGTTCGTTTCACAATAATTGTGTTAATTTTAACAGATTATAGCAGCCACTGCCTTTTTTTTTTTTTGGTCCTTCGCCTCCTCCCCTCTAATCGAAATGTAAAGTCTTCACCTATGATTATAATTATTTTAAGCTAGATTTGAGTATAACAACGTTATGATCCATCTCTTTTTACAGTATCACTGACGAACTTAAAATTACAAGAACAAAAGTTAATCTATATATTACATTAACATTGAGACATACCCGTTCTCTGATGTGGGATGAAAGACGGTTCTCCATAGACTTGCCTGTAGTTGGATCCTGGTATTCCAGGCTCTCCAGGTTCACCCTTCTCACCGATGACGGACACTCCTGGTGGCCCCTAGATTTGTTTTTAATTAAAAAAAAGGTTTCGATATAAAATTTCAAATTCATAATTAAAGATTAGCCATAATTTATCAAAACTATTCTACCAAATTATGATTACGTTTTCTAATTATCACAATTATGATTAGCCTTCATTTATAGATTTTTTTTTACTTATTTCCTCCTGATAAATGAAATTGTGCTGGATCAATTCGAATCCTTACCATAAATTATCAATAAATGTTTTTTGCTTTCATATTTCTGTATTATATTTCATATTCAACTCTTTACAACATTCTTAAAGAGTACTATGCAAAGGTTCGAGTTGAGATAGGTTACAACCTTGATAAAACACCAACCTTTTAATTCTTCCGATAACTCACCATGTGAGCTCCTTAATTATGGATCTTTTCATCGATACTAACAGCCTATAATCCTTAAATGGAACTTTTTTTTCTCGATTACTCCCTTCCTCGTCGTTATTGCCATATGAGAGGTTGTTCTAGAGTTATAACCAAACTCATTCTAACCAGAGTCCTAACCGAGTCGAGATTCATTCCGTGGGTCCGTCACGAAATAAACTTCAACCCACCCGCCCGGGCAAGATTCAAACTGGCGTCGCTAGAGTCGAGAATATTACAGTTTACATTAAATACGCCACGACGACCTCTCGTTTGCTGGAACTATATTCATCACGGGCCACTTCTTGGTCTTGTTTCAACATTCAGTCGAATCCCTTGGTTAGATCCACAAAAGAAGAGTTAAAACCCTTCTTTCTTTGGGCTTTTCAGACATTTTCCATGTATCAGAATTCATGTCCCCGCAATCACATCCCCGTGTTTATCTGAAGCCGTTCCTTTTGATGTTCTCTGACTTCCAAGAGTTCTATCCTCTACTCTTGGACAGGTTTTAAGTGACAATCAGGTTATAAGAACTCCTACTGTCAGAATTATCTAAGTTATCTCATTTTTTTAAAATGGCTGTTGTTGTTTAATGATTACAGGCATAAAACTCTGAGGTCATCAACGCCTTCTGGCGTTATTTACAACAAATGGATGTTGTTTACTGGTCCTTTGTGATCCTTTTTTTTTGTTTTGTCTGTACAGAGAATCAGCTCGATTCCTGTATCTATGGACTTTGCTAAGCTTCAATTCAGGCAATGTTGTTACTTTTCTAAATAGACCTATTTATTTACTCTTCTGCGCCTGTAACGACAGTTTCTTCCACCCGATTCCTATCTTATAGTTACAATTCTTTACTACTCAGAGTTACACAGCTTGTAAGCTTAATGAATGCCACTCACACTCATCCATTTTTATCACTGTTTTCTTATATTTATTTTCCATGATTTTTCGACACCCATTTTTTATTATGTTTAATCTTTAACATCTCCTCCCTATTTCAAAATCATAATTAATAAACAATATGTATTTCAAATGGAGTAAGTATACCTAATATCTTAAACTAATATTACTTCTTATTTAAGACAACTTATGTTATTTATTTAAAAATGGTATTTCATTGAGTTATAATATATCCTGCAATACTCACGGGTGGTCCAGGTGGCCCAGGGACTGGCACGTACTGCACTGCATCTTTTCCAGGGTCGCCTTTTTCACCTTTCAACTGTTTAACAAAAAATAGATGGTTTAAAATAGGTGACTTTTAAAACTGTTATTAGATCTTTTAGAACATCATATAAGACAGCCTGTTTGAGTAGCTAACTGGATTATAACAAGCAATGTGTTTATGTTTATTTCTTTGGCTCGTATGGTTGCAATTGATATTGGAACACGTTTTAATCTTATCGTTTAGACGAACTTTTTCATTTTTCATTTCAGAATGTTTTATTGGAGTACTTTCATAAAAAAAAAAAAAAAAAAAAAACGCTGCAAATTATTTCACAATGGTTTATTATTTCCAAGCAGTTATACATCTAAAGTAACATTACCTTCCTAGTTACAAAGAAAAATAAATAAAAGGTGATTCCAATTATTGGACTAAACTTTCTTCAATTTAATCATTAGTAATATGTTTAAAAAAAAACAGCATTACTTCAGTAACACATTCAAAATTTTAAAAAACCAAACAAACGATATAATATTTGGAGCAGAACATATAAAAAAAAACTGAAGACCATATCTTTTCTCCTAATTGTCCGATTTTAACTTTTTGAGTTATTCGGAATTTAATTTTACCATCCCTTGTACTTATTTTCCAGCTTCTTTTCGTTGAAGTATGTTATATAAATAAATTTAAAGGAAGTCGGAAAAATGACTTTGGCGAAGTTTCATTGAAATCGATACATTCGTTTAGGAGCTACAGTCTATAGCAACGAGGGTTTTTTGGCCGCCATTTTGAAAGTAAAGGCGGATAGTAAAGTCGATGAAGGAGGATCAGACTTGAGCGACCACTGATTTTATATCCAAATTTGAAAAAAATCGTTCCAGTATTTTCGGAGAAAATGCGCGGACGGCGTAGGGACAAAAAAAATTGTATTCATTTTTCGAATTCTACGCATCATGAAACCTCAAATTTTGAGAGGGGATTAAGTTTTTGAATTTTTTGGTCGATCACGATGGTTGATTATTGAAAATAATAAACCAACAACTAAGGTACGATTTAGACCACATGATAGAAGTGAAAACATCAAGAAGGCGAAATTAATAATATAAAATATAAATTATAAATAATAGCTCATTATAAATAGGATGGAATGCTGAACATTTTCCTCGCTTATACTAAGCAAGTAAGATTTTTAGTTCCTAAGATATTTTAATCCATATCTTAAATAAAACTCGTTATAATTTGGTTTTCGACACTATTTTTTTCCTTTTCGCCTCTCTAACACGGCGTCGAGTTAAGATACACTTTTGAATTATAGTGTATTACAGAGAGGATGAAGTACTGAACAATTCCCTCGCTTATAGTGTGCAGGCCCTATTTTTATTTTCTGAGATATTTTAATCCAATTGTAAAAACATTTAAAATAATCGACTCTAGCCGACTTTATCGGAGCGTTAAAACTTCGAAAATCTGACGGATCAATCTAATTCACTCTTCAAAAAAAAGTGCAAAACGCACCTTAAGCAAATTTTACTTAAACAAAAAATAGACAAAACTTATTAAATTATTTATTTTATCCTATTAATAAAGCAACTGTATTAGAGAAGTAAAATTCAAAAATAACATAATATAAAACAGTTTAAGAAATAAATTTAATATTTTTAGGAACGTAGGGAAGATGAAGTCGTTGCCTTGGGGCGCCGAATGTCTAATGCCGGCACAGCTTTTGATGATGCAATTAGAATAGAAAATATTTTTTGCGTTTCCTGAAAAAAATGTCAGTGATGAATAGCGTCCCCTTTGAAAATCAACAATTCATATATAGATATTTGAATCCAATTGTAAAAACATTTAAAATAGTCGACTCTAGCCGACTTTATCCGAGCGTTAAAACTTCGAAAATCTGACGGATCAGTTTAATTCACTCTCCACAAAAATGTGCAAAACATGTCTAAAAAAAATTTCACTTAAAAATAAATCTCGTTATTCGTGTTAATAAAAAGATAGAGATTCCATTTTTTAACAAGCAAGCACTTGTTCAAACTCTCTCAACTTTAAATATTTTCGATTTTATGTTATTACCTTTTTTTCAAGAGTTGCCCATTTATCCTTTAAAATTTTATTTTTTTTAATATTTGCAAATAGCCTATTTGCTACATAAGCAGTTATATACAACCAAGATTCGGATTTTCATGCAATGACATATTTTGTTTGCATACAGTTTTTAAATTTCTGATAAAAATACCTTTACGAATCAATATTTTAATTGCAAGCTTATATTACTTTTAAAAGTGTAACCAATGGATAGTTTCTTTACAACTCTTTCTATGTAATTATATTTCTCTGTGTCACTTTAATTAGATGTATTTTATTTAATACAGTTGTAAATTTCATTAATAAAAAGGAAATTAATACATTCATCTTCTTATTTCACACTTTTTTTTGTAGTATTATGTTTCTTCCTCTAGTTTCTTTTTTAGTTTCTTAGTATAGGCATGTACGATCAATGTTCACTTCCTAGGCACTGTTAATGTCCTACCTTACTATAGTTAATGTCCAAGAGACATTGTTGTAACTCTCAATAAATAAAATAATTTAAAAAATATAGGCTTATTGGTAAATTTCAATGCTTTAGCTCTCTTATGTTGGATTTTTTTATCTGAACATTTTATGTTTTTCTACACCATATGTTACGCTTTTTTTAATACATATTATCTGGCACATTCTGTAGGGCTTCCTACATAACCATAATCAGACAAATAAAGATTGAAAATTCAGTGTAATTAACCAGCTCCTTTATTTTAAGATTAGCATCACATTCCTATATCAAAGTTGTGTAAGAATGCAAAACATGGTTTTATTTATTTAATAATTTTCTTTGTCTAAACTCGGTAATTTATTCCACGCAATTATTGTTATTTGTCTAATTGCGATGACATAACCGACCCTTATTCCCCTTCTCCCGCCTACATAATTAAAGTCTTGAATTTATTCATAAAATTGATGGGGCTATTTAATAAATCGGTTATAATTAGATTTGCTAATTGGCTTTGCTGTGGAAATTGGAGAGCGGTCGCTATCCCCTCAGACTTCTTATCGAAGAGTAGAAAAGGTAATTGAATAAGGAGAAAGGATGGAATGATTTGCAAGTATAATTGCAATTAACATTAATGGTATCGGTGCCCACGGGGCAGCCTATAGACCATAGTCTCGGGTCTCAATGCATTACTCCATTAGTCGGGAATCGGATGGTCTTTCGTATGGTACCCCCCTCTCACCCTCCCTTTTCCCTCTCCATTCCACTGTACCGCAGTATAAGTGTCTGGCTATATTGCCCGCCTACTGCGCTCTACTACAAAAGGGGTCGTTTGCATAAAAATGTCTCTTAGAATATTACGGTGAGGCAGGGATTGGAAGAACTTCTATAAACTAGTTAAAACTAGCCAGTGCAATTTAAATTCTAACATTCTTACCAGAGTAATATATGAATTGTTTATTTTTAAATTTAACCCTAATCATCACCGACAATTTTTCAGGAACCGCAAAAATCTATATCTTTTATTCTAATTGAATCAATAAAAGCTATATCGGCTTTAGACATTCGGTGCCTCATTGCAATGACATAATCTCCCCTCCCTCCCTAAACATATTAAATTTATTTCTTACCCCCGTACCAGACTGAAGCGACTAGAAACCGCCCGACATTTTCGACTATTGCAGCACTTACTAGACAAACGCTCTAAACATCCCACTATTTAAAAAAGACTCATATATATTACTATAATAAGGCCTATTCGGACTTACGGGATCGAGATTTGGAGCTCTACTAAACCATCAAATTCCTCTCGTCTCCAATCTCTACAATCCAAAATCCTTCGTAAAATCCTCAACGCTCCTTACTTTGTCACAAATAAAATCATCCATAAAGACCTTAATATTCCATATGTTTCCGATTTAGCTCAATCCAGATACCTATCCTTCCATAATAAACTTCTAAACCATCCGAACCCTCTTGTTTCCAACCTTGCTTCCTCTTTTATTTCTGATAACCCACCGAGGCTTCTGAAAAGAAGATGGTCTCGGGACCTTCTAATATAGAAATATAATTGGAGTGCTACCCATGGGTAGTTTCTCCTCATGTGGTACATGTCAAGTTACTTATTTCATATTTACTAGGTGTATTTATCATTATACACTTGTAAATTTCAATAATAAAAATAAAATAAAAAAAAATATTTCTTAAGATGTTTTATATTATGTTATATTTGAATTTCATTTCATTTGACGTTTCTCTAATACAGTTGATTTATTAGTCGGCTAAAATTAATTATTTTAATACGTTTTGTATTTTTTAAAATTTCTAACAAGTGGTGAGCGCCTCCCGGATTGCCCCACCCTAAAGCCCGCATTGATCAAAACCAATATTTTTAGAAATATAAATTAGTAACAAAATAATCAAGAGATAGAACACGAAAGTTAGGTTATAATTGGTAATCACATCTCGATTGGATTAAGAAATTAAATTAAGCAATTCTTTATTCCAAAAGTTTCTGATTTTTTCATTAGTAATTAAAAAACATTTAAAATTTAATAAGCCCCTTTTTGGAAAGAATCAAACTTCAAGGTCTATTTCTGTGGAAAAAAAATTATTGGAGTTCAGTTTGTAGAGAAAAAAAAAACGAGAAAAGTTTTCAATGATTTTTTTTTTTTTGTAAATACTTTACAAATGGAAGTTTCATTACCTTCTTTGATAAAAAAAGGCCGGTTTAGGTAATAAACTCATGTTCACACATTGTTTTCAACATTTAGGTCCCTTTATGTTGAAAGATAATTGCAATATCGGATGTATGAGGTCTTTTTACATGGGAATCGAAAATTATCTCGATTTTCAAAAAATCTATTTGGGTCCACTTTAGAAATAAGCGACTCTTATTTAACATTCCTTTAATTTTAGCAATTGAAAACTTAGGCGTCGTTACCACGAGTTATGGTTTAACACACAGGAGTCGCTCACCTCCCTATGAATCTCAAGATGGGGACTTTACCGTCTACATGCGGGA